AACTCCCAGAATTCCCCAGCCCGCGAAGGCCGGCTGGTGAATTCTGGGAGTTGAAGTCCAGACACCTTCAAGTTGACAAGGTTGAGAAACACTGGACTAAATTGTCAAGAGCCATTTTGCTCAGGAATGAAAAGGATCTGGCTGAAAGATTGTCAACAAGTTCCTGAGGAAAATACTAAAAACCTACATGTCGAACCTGACCCGACTCCATAGTTGCCTGCTCCTGCTTTTGCTCTCAGCTTTGCCAAACTGGGACGGGAGGTGGGTGGTGAATTCCTAAGAGTGGAAGGAGGCTTTGGAATGCAAGTGAACCATTTGTTGCTGGAGAGATGTCGTCTGCAAGGCCAAGTGATGAAGAATGTTTTGAGGGAAGCAGACAGCTTTTCCCAAAGCAAAAGAATTGAACTCAGTTGGTGAATTCTGAACTGTGAGTGGCCCGGTAGGGAAAAGGAGGGTTATCTAGATGTGGGTTTTCATGGGAAAATCCCAGAACTGACTTTGCTTCTGCTGTGCCTAGATGGATTTGTCAATAAAGCTACACTCTTGGTTAATCTCAAGTGGTGGTGTCAAATTTTATTTCTTTGAGGATCGCATCAGGGTTGTGTTTGACGTCGGGGCGCTGGGTGGGCGTGGCTAGGGTGCCTGGGGTGGGCATGGCCCCATTTTCAGCTGGGACATCCTACAACCCCCTGCCAGCGAAAATGGAGTTGAAAGGGGCTGCACATGGCTCTTCTGAGTTCCATTTTCACTGGCAGAGACACCGCGGGATGCTCCTTCACTGTTTCCAAGGCGGTCTAAGCACCCCATGGGCTGAATCTGGCCTGTGGGCCTTGCATTTGACCCTCCTGATTTAAAGAGCCAGAATTTCTTTTGTTGAATATGCCCAATGGGACGATCAACACTACCTAATGCATTATAACTTGCAGAATCTGAAATAGATTTATAGGAAGTCTGTAACTCCAGTGGGACCAGCCTCTGCTCCATCTCATTCCGCTCTTGAGGAATTCTTACCACATTGTACAATAATAAATATTCTGAGTGTGGACACATACATCAGTATAATGGGAGAATCTCCACGATAAGAACCGTTCCTCCATGGGCTGAAATGTCTCTTTTTTCTCCAGATTTCTATCATCACCTGATGGACGACAGATAAATTTAATAATAATATAAAAAGAGAGAGAGAGAGAAAGCTAGAAAGTCTACAAGGAATTCCCAGGTTGGGTAGAAACTATAATTGCTTTAGCTCCCCATGCCATCACTGATACTGGATAGTAATCTCCGGTCTATGTTAATCTTTCACTGTTTTCTCCCCATTCCTCTGCCTGTCCCTGTTGAGCTGGAAGATGGACGTGAGGATATAAATCGGTTCTGTAATTCTGAATCACTCAAGCTTCCTGGGATTGAAATCCACGGAAAATATTGTCTGTTATTTTCCCATCGGACCATCTTCACATCCGCAGGATCTGCTTAACGGAGACATAGGGTTCCTGGGAAACCTTCAAAGCTGCTTGGTAATCTACCAAAGGGACTTCCCGGCAGGCTGGAGCAATTAGTTGACCCTTTCGAACGAGAGTGCACAGCTCGGCTATCATTGTTTCCAGCTTCTCTTTGCCTGTGCATGGAGAAAGAAGGCAGAAAGCAATCACCGATTGTTCTTTCTTTCTGAACTGCTGAGTTTAGATTCAAGAGAGCAAATAATAATCATTGGTACAATAAATTCTGTTCGACTTCTCCTCTGCCTGCCCTCTGGAATCAGAGGTGGCATTCAGCTGGTTCAGACTGGTTGGGCCGAACAGGTAGCGGAAATCATGGGTGATTTCCAAAACAAGTGCACGCTGGTAGCCAGACTCCACTTCCTTTAGCATTTGGAGAAGGCAGAAGCACAAAGAAGAATCCATCTTAATCTGTGGCACATTGTCATCCACAGGATACACACACACACACACACACACACACACACACACACACACAGCATTGCG